CACATGACTCGGCTAATGCAGGACAAATGGGAAATTGTCTGACCTTTATGGGCCTCTTTTTCATATTGAAATGCTGGAGCAGTAGAGGCCGTCACGGGAGCTCATTCATCTTGACAGACGGACAGCCGTAACTGACCTGGGCTGGCGGGACAGCCTGTGAGGTGGGCACCTGCCGAGGGGGTGAGCTCCAGCGCTGGGCAGGCCGCCCTGCCAGGTCAGCGTCTTTGCTGGTTCCGAGGACGTGAAAGAGCGCGTTGGGGTGGCCTTGGAGCAGAGAGCGGGCAGAGGGCGCCCAGAAGCCASTTCAGCGTGGAGAGGGAAGCGGCCGGGAGCGTGGTTGGGGTGCTCGGGAAGGGGGCCCGCCGACTGGGCCAGGTGGAGGGACCCTGCCCGGCAGCCCTGTTTGTCACAGATTCCTCCCAGAACCACAGGGACCAGGTGGTGGGACTCGGTCCTCAAGTCTCGGTGCTCGGGGCCCCGGGCCTGGCGGGTTTCCCAAGGACCTGGCTCCGGGGACCTGGGGCTTCCTGAAGAGCTGCAGGGCACCACACCCTGGGCCGGGGTTCGGATTCAGCAGTGGGCTGCTGGACACCAGGCGCTTCCTTGGTTGCAGGGTCCATGGGTGCGTTGGCGGTCCGGGCGGCACTGTGGGCTCTGGGGACCTGCGGGTGTGTGGCACTGCCCCGTGGCAGGCTGTTTCTCCCCTGGGAACCCATGTCGACGCAGGTCCAAGCCCTCCCTGCCTGCTGTCCCCCTCCTGCTTCCTGCCCCTTCCCCTCCCTGAGTGAAAACCCCCAAGGTGGATGGACAGGACCCTCCAGTGTCCCAAATCTGCAGTCTCTAGTCCTGACCAGACGCGAAGGCTCAGAGCCGTGGACACCGGCACTCGCAGGCCACACGGGTGCAGAGGCGGGAAGGCCCCAGGGGAGCAGAACCAGAGGCAGGGCGACCGTCACCCACACAGCACAGGAGCCCGGTGGGCAGAGCGGCGGAGCACACGGAGAGCCCGCAGAAGGCCGGCACGCCTGGCCTCGACCCTGGTGGGCTGGACGGAAGGAGGCCCAGCTCCTGCCTGCTGTCTGGCTCCAGGGAGGTCTCCTGGCCTGGCCCTGTGGGATCCCTGCTCTCGGGCCTGCTCCTGGGGAGGCCCCTCCAGGAAAGCACSGGCGTGAGGAGCCGAGTGGGCTCTGCAGGACATGCTGGGGCAGCGGCCTCCCCCGGCCTGCCGTTCCCAGGCGGGTAGTTCCCCTGGAAGCTCCTCAGTCAGGTGTCCCCTCCTGCCTGCCCCCCACCCCCTGGGGCTGTGTCAGCAGGCAGGCCAGGGCCGGCAGGCAGGGCCTGTGCACACATGGCCTTGTGGAAGAGGGGGACTCAGTGGGGACAGTGTCCCACGCCCCACCTCTTCTAAGCGAGAGCGTGGGCAGGGCTGAGGTGACCGAGCTGCTCTCCTGCCTGCACCTCCCGCCAGGAACCTAAGCCGCCCCGCCGGAGACGCCCCTCCGCGGCCGGCCGTTTGGGGTGTTCTCTGAGTCGCACACTGAGCTCCCCTCCCTGGTGCGTTTCCGGTCAGTGTGGAGGGCTTGGAGTCACAGGCAGGTGGCCAGCTGGCAGGACATGAGCCTCTAGGGATCCAGGCTCTGGATCTGTCCAGCAGGCAGGGGCGGGCAGCACCCATCCTCCTCTGGAGAAGGGACTCTGCAGCCGAGACCCTCTGCTCTGTCCCTGGGCATTGGTGATGTTCCTCCTGGGCGTGCCGAGATCCTGGTGGAAGGACGTGGACGCATTTCTCACAGCTTTGTGGAGGCGTGATCCTCACCGTGGGTCATGACAGTTGGTGCTGGGGTTTGGGTCTTGAATCCCCCCAGAGCCCGTGGATCACAGGCCTGGTCCCAGCCTGTGGTGCCACTGGGAGGTGGGGCCCAGTGGAGGGGAGAGCCTTGAAGAGGATCCTGGGACCCCCAACACCTCTCACCTCGTTTCCCAGGTGCCCGAGTTGAACTGCCCTCCCCTGCTGCCCCCGGCTGAGTGACCATGGACTGAAGCCTCTGAAACTGGGATCCAAAATAAACCCTTCGTCCCATGCAGGTGGTCACCCCAGGTGTTTTGTCACGGCAGCCGAGAGCTGGCTGACACGGAGCGAGCCTGGAAGCTGGGCATAGTGACCTGTGGGCCATGTGCATGGTGGCACGCGTGGACATGCCCTTCACGCCAGAAGCCCCCTCCTGCTCTTGGGCYCCGTCCCTCCCCCAGCCTCCTGCTGTCCTCCACAGACCTTTGAACTGTTTTCTGTCACTTTGGACTGTATTTTTCAGAATTTTGGGTGAATGACATCATACCGTATCTCCCTTTGGGGGATCAACCAACCTCCCTCCCTCCTCCCTCTCTCTCCCTCCTTCCCTCCCTCCCTCCCTCCCTTCCTTGTTTTTCGTTCCTTTTTCTCCAGTGCTGAGGTGGGGCCCGGGGGACGTGCCAGGCCAGCTCTCCTCTGTGGGGCTGCACCCTGGCCCTGGAGCCCGGCATGATTCTGTGATTCACCGTGATGCTCCGGTCACTGCCGAGCGCTCTCCACCCTGGGGACAAGCATGGTCTGTCCTCAGTGCGCCTGCCGGGGCTCAGGCGTAGCAAACACAGCTGCTTCAGACCCTCCTTCACAGGTCTCCGTGTGGACAGGTGCGGAGAGCAGAGCAGGCTGTGAAGCAGCTCAAGAGCCCGTCCACACAGGGGACCTTGCTTTTATTGAGCTGTGCTAGTTCTTCCCCTTCTCCCCTGTGAATCTGGGTTTGATTGGCACCTTGATTGACARCTATATTGGATCAATTTCCTTCCTCTCCCTGCAAAATGCACAGGAGGAGCACCCTGCAGTACTGATTCATTAACTAGCAACGAGTCGACCTGAGGGTCACCTGCCACCATCAGGACATGCCCTTTAGGGGCTAGGGTCCCCCTTAAGGTCACCTGGTTTCTTCCCTGTAACTGCAAGATGGTCCTGTTCCCTCACAGAGGGGGCTTCGAGTGGCATTGGGTGGGGCCCTAGCCCTCCCTGATGCCCTAGCCCTGCTAGGAATGGAGGGACCGAGCCTTGGGACATGCCATGTCCATTCAGGCTGCTGTCCAGGGACTGCGCGGCGAATGTCTGTTGTGGACTTACTCCGGTTCCAAAGCCCAGAATGTGAGCTCAAGGTACCAGCTCCTCAGGTTCCTTTGCGAGCTCTTCCTGGCTTGCAGACCGACACCTTGGTGTGTCCTGGGTGGAAGAGACGAGGAGGCGGAGAGAGCAGCCCTGTCCCTGCGGAGGCACCTGAGCTGATCGCCCAGAGGCCCTGGCTCCCTGGCCTCACACGGGGACTCGGGTCCCCACAGGAGCCGGGGCAGATGTTCAGCCCATAGCACTGGGCGTCCAACTGTGAGAAACTGCTGGACGGTCTGCAAGGTGACGGGGAGGCATGCGTGGCCCAGGGGTGGACGTGAGCGCCGTTGCCCTGTGCCTCACCAGCACTCCGCTTGGTCGGACTCTTCTTTCAGCCGTGTGAACAGGCGTGCGCGGTGGCCTCGTGATGGGTGATTAAATCATGAAAGGAAAGCGCATTTCCCTGGTAACGATGCTCGGTGTCCTTTCATCTACTGATTTCCCACCAGGGCGTCTTCCTCAGTGAAGTTCTGCTCAGGTCTTTGGCTCATCTGTTAAGCTTTGAGGGGTCTTGGGACATCCTGGTCCAGCGGGTGACTTGCCTGGTCAAGTGGGTGCTCCCCCGTGTGGAGCTTGAGTTTGCCATACACTTTCCACCTTCGGGAGTTTTGAAGTTTGCTTTATTGTTTYTTCTGTGGACTCTGCTTCTGCCACTGTGTGTGAACCTCCGTGCCTCACCCAAGTCCCAAGGGCCCCTCTTGTGTTCCTTCTGGAAGTCTCTAGTTTTCGTCTTTACATTGGGGTCCCTGAACAGTTTTGAGTGGTTSTCAGACACCGTCTGGGGGTGAGTGGGTTCTTTTTTGTTTTCAGTGTGCTCTTTATTCTAACACTAATTGTCTTGGCCACCTTTTCAGAAAGTGAATTTGCGGGGTGTGGATGTGTCTGGGGGTCTCGTCTTGTCCACCTGAACGCCAGCTCCACCTGCAGTCCGTAGCTGCCTGGAGGTCTCAGCCAACAGCGTAGTCCTTCCCTTGGTGGTTTTCATTTGTTTCACAATTGTTTAAAATGATTCCGTAGGTGTTTTCAAGTCATCTCATTGATTTCTACCAAAAAAAGGCCTGTTGAGATTCTGATTGGGGTCTTATTAGGTCGGCTGACCTGCTGGGGAGAGCTGACGCCTTAACGGTCACCTCTGGTCCATGGTCAGGGTGTATCTCTTCCTTTACTCGGGTCTTTGAATTCCCCTGCAGTACTTGGAAGATCTCTGTCACCTGCTGTTGGCTGATCCACCCGCCCGGCCTTCCTCTCCGATTTGCCCCGGGGCGGTTCCTCTCCTGTCTGCCCACCCCGATGTCCACTCTGCTGCTGTTGCCATCCTGTGCCCTTGGCTGTGATGGGCGGGGAGGGGTGTCACAGCCCACCAGGTCGTCCCCTGCCATGGGCGGATGTGTACCTAGGGCTGGGGAACATGCCTGTGTTCCTGACCCTGGTTCAGAGCCTCCTGGGAAAAGACWGTCCTGTGGTGACCACAGCGCTGGCTGGACCTGGGGAGGGTGGGCTGGGATCACTGGGGAGGGGGTGGGCGTTCCAGGAGTGGTTCACAGATATACAGGGACGCTGGGAAATCCCGCAGGTGTCCCTGAGTGAAAGTGGCCAGCGTCTGGAAGGGAAGCGGCCGAGGCCGAGGGTGGTGTTTCCTGGGCTGGTCTTTTCCTTTCTCCATTTTCCAAAATTTCTTGAATGACGTTGGACAGCTTTTGTGATTATAAGGAAGAGCAGGTCCTGCTGCCGGAGCGTCCCTGGGCGGGTGGGCTGGGGGGCCGGGTGGGCCKGGCGGGCTCGCCCTGCGCTGCCCACGCCCTCTCTCTTGCAGGCTTTGGGAACCATCACTGCAGTGCCTGTCTCGGGTCCTCAGGTCAGCTCCCTGCAGAGGTTGGCGGGGCAGGGAGCGGCAGTGCTACCTCAGGTAAGCACCCCGGGGCCTGGCCTGCTGGCTGTCCCTCCCTCTGGTGGCCCCTCCTGCCTCCCCTGCCTGTTGGTTAAAGGACGCTTGGGACYAGGTCTTCACACTGTGGGGCCAGTTTTTCAGAGAAGTTAACGAGGTAATTTAGTGTCAGAGTTCAATAGAGGAAGCCAGGCCACACCAGGTGGCCTAGAGAATGTCCAGCTGTGCCGCCAACAGCGTTGGCTGCCTCGTGGCTCCTGTTCTGGGTCACAGTCAGAGGAGTTTGGGAAGCAGCATCAAACCCTGCCCCAGCGTGGCTGAGCACTTGCTGAATACACCACACCCACCAGGGGCCGTGGGCTGCAGAGGTGACCCCAGCCCCTGCCTGTCCTGGGCTCTCGTCCCCATGGCAACGTTCCCTGCGTGCCCACCTGTGCTGGTCCCTGGGGCCCTGCCCCCGAGAGGCTCAGGGTCTCAGGAGAACAGGCCCCTGGACCGGGGTGATCAACCTGGTGGGGAAGACGCACAGAGCTGGAGGCCCTGAGGTGGCCGGTGCCCACCAGGGGATCAGGAGGGCTCCCTGGGCGGGGGTTGAACCAGGCCTCAGGGTGGGAGGGTGCTGCAGGCAGGTGACAGCCGTCACGTGGGTACATCCTCTCACTACTCCTAGTCACAGGGAAGGGACTCAACCCAGGGACGTTGAGTGTCCCCTAATCCACCCAGGTCCAGGAGGACCCAGGATGGCTGCAGAGGACCTGACTGGAGCCCTGCCCTGGGCCACGTGGCAGGCGCCTGCCGCTCGCCGTCATCTCTCCTGTCCCCAGACTACTCGGGGTGACCCAGGTGCCAGTTAGTGGCACGGTTCAGTGGCCCCAGAGGAGCCCAGCAGAGTCACCCGACTGAGAAGCAGAGCTGGAGGGCACAGCTGCAGGCCTGCTCCTGACCAGAGGGGACCTGGTGGCCTGGAGCCACTGCACCTGCTCTCCCGCTTCCCGCTCCCTCTGTGGTCACTGCCTGCCCAGTCAAGGCAAGTGGTGGACAGACAGCACCAGCAGCCTCCGAGAGACCCTGGCAGGTCCCGGGCAGTTCCAATGGCCTCCACTCCCCTCCAACATGGGAGGTCTCAGAGCCAGGGCTGCTGGCTACTGCTGGGCCTTCATCACCTGCTGTGTCCATCTGTCTGTCTGACTGTGCATCTGTCCCTCTCTCCCAGGTTAGGCCAAAGACTCTGATTCCAGACAGCCTCCCTGTCACCCCGGGCAGGGACCGGCCACCCAAGCAGCCCCCAACATTCCAGAAGGCCACTGTGGTCAGCATCAAGAACCCTAGCCCAGCCCTCCCCACCGCCAACAACACCGTCAGCCATGTGCCAACGCCCGGCGGCCAGCCCCAGGCCCTCGCCGAGCCCACTGCCATCGCCTCGCCCCTGAGCAGCGCCGGGGTGGCCTATGCCATCATCTCCACCTCCCCCAGCAATGCTGCCGCCATCGCCCCCAGCACCGCCGTGCCCGTGGTCAGYGAGAGCCTCCAGGTGCAGCCCCTCCTCATCAGTGCCGACAGCAAGGTGAGTGCCCCCCAGGCCCGGGGACACAGCCCACTTACGAGGCCCGGGGACACAGCCACGTGGCCACACGCAGAAGGCCCCAGGCAGGAGGGACTGGCTGGCGGGTGGCCAGGTGGCCAGCGGATGAATGGATGTGTGTGGAGGGTGTGTGGGTGCAGGGAGGTGACATCCCGCAGGGGACACAGGGCCAGAGTGACCGGGTGTGATGGCAGGAGGAGCCCCACTCGACAGGCCGTGGACCAGCCAAGGGGACGGAGGAAGGAATGGGGCTGCGTGGGTCGACCAGGGCCGAGAGCCACTGGCCCACGCGGCAGTCACCGGGTTCATGGGCACCACTGATGGAACCCGGGATGCTGCCCTCCTGCTTTCCACACCCTGGTGCCTCGGCAGGACAGCTCCTGTGGCTTCTCACCCAGGTTTAAAGCTGACCTGGAAGTCCTCTCCCGGTTCCCCTCAGAGCTCCTGGTGGCCCTGCTRTTGGAGGCCTCTGATCCCTTTGCCAGGCTGTGCCTCTGGCTCGGGGCTGACGCCYGTGGCGTCCCCCACATGAGTTGGTGCCATGTGGCCAGGGGACCCCGTCGGTGCCTGCATCCATTTCAGAGCTCATTCTGTTCTGGGCCCTCCCCCGACTGGCAGGACCCTCAGAGCCTGGAGTGGTGGTTGCTGGTGTCCCCARGTGTCCCCAAGTGTCCCCGATGCAGAAGGCTGCCTGGTGGACGTTCTCTGCCGCCTGTTTCGCTGCGGTCCCCCGACGTGGCCCCCCGACGTGAGCGCTGGGCTGAATGCCTTCCGCTCCTTCAGTTGGCTCTCAGGCCTCGCGGTTGACTCCGAGTCTTCTGGTCACTGAGCCGAGCGGCGTCCTGTGTCCTCCTCGGGGCCGCTTCACAGCAGTCTCTCTTTCCTGCAGGAGAGTTTAATATTTTCCTTCCCTTGAGCATAAAATGAGGCATTTCCCCCCTATACAGGAAATCTGGGGTTTTAAAAAATGTGATACGTGGAGCAAAGAGCCTCCCCTGAGCCAGCAGAAAACAGAATACCTCTCTCTTCCCGCTCRGGAGCCAGACTCTAAGAGTCACCTGTTCTCAGGGAAATAAAAGCCAGAGCAATTCAGGTGATTCGGCTGAGCCGGACCCTGGGGCTGGCCWGGTGGATTCCTCTTCCCTGACCCAGGAGCCACGGAAGACAGGCAGCTCCCAGGCCCTGGCCACAGTAAACAAAACAGCAGCAACGCCGGAGGCCGGTGCTGCCCAAGGCTGGCCGACCTGGTGCCCGGGCAGTCTGACCCCGCTACCCCTTCCCCAGCCCCCAGGGGCTTGGCCGGGCTCTCAGGGCAGAGCCCTGCCCCCCAGGCCTCAGGGGCAGTGGTCTGAGGAGGGTCGAGGGAGGAGTGAGACCCTCTGGGCCTCCATTCATGGGCATGTGAGCTAGGGATGGAGACCACCCTCCCTGGAGTCCTGTGGCCTGAGTCCTCACAGCCACCCTGAGGTAGGCACTGCCAGGGCCCACCCACAAGGAGGCTCAGAGAGGCACAGTGACCTCCCAAGGGCCACACAGCTAGGAAAGGGTGGGACAGGGTTCGAACCTGGCACCTCCTGCCTCAGGTCCGGCCGGCACTTCTGCAGGACTCTCGTGCTCAGGGGAAGCTCCGTCAGAGGTGCAGGCCCAGCTCAGGGTGGGTGCAGACGCTTCCTCCTCGGTGACCTGCCCTTCAGGTTGCCCCTGGGCCCTCCGCCCCCCCTCCCCCCAAGCTCCTCCCCCCTCCGTGCCCCTCACCCCTCAACCCTGCCCACGTCTTGTAGGTCATTATTATTCAGCCTCAAGTGCAGTCGCAGCCCGAGAGCTCGGCAGAGCCGCGGCCGCCCACAGAGGAGCCATCTCAGGGAGCTCAGGCCACCAGGAAGAAGAAGGAGGACCCGCCCCCCAGCCAGGAGAGCCCCGAGGTAGGACCGCCCTGGGGGTGCCTGGCCACGGTGGGGACAGCACCGTCACCTGGGGATGGTCCCCACCTGCCATGGCGTGGCCGTCCAGTGCGGGGGTCAGGGGACTGCTGCCRACTGGAGACTCGGGTCCCTGGGAGGCACTGGTGGTGTGGCAGTGCGGGGCAGTGGTGGGCACKGGTTCTGGTGCCATTGATTCAGCCCGAGCACCGGCAGCGGGCTGGGCAGGACTGCAGGCAGGTCCCGTGCGTCTTCTCATCTCTCCGGCGGGGGGAATGAGGCCCCCTTCCTGGAGGGCTGGAGGATGCTGGGTTGTCAGGCAAACCCCCCCGCCCCCCGATCAGGAGAGGTGCCCACTGTCCCCAGAGCCCCAGCCATGGCCCTGCTGTCCTTGGGACCTTTAGCCTAGGGGAGGATGGGCTCCTCTGGGTAATACGTGGGGCTAGCTCAGCCCCTGCCTACTCTCTGCCCATGACCAGAGCTGAGGGTCTGGGGTCTTAGGACACATCGGAACTGCATCCTGGATGACCTGCCTGCAGGCTGCCAAGATGGGGCTTTGTTCCTCAGGTACTGGGGAGCCATGGAGTGTCTTTGAGCAGGGGAGTGGTTTGAGGTGCACAGAAAGCCCCTGAGGTGGGCTGCTCAGTGAGGCCTCAGTGTGACCCGAGTCTCCTGTGGTCCCATCCCTGGTGGTCTCAAGCCAGACCGTCAGTGCCCTGGCAGCATCTGAGCCCCTCCTGTGCGTGGTGGGCTCCTGGAGGTTTGGGRCTCCTGTGGTCTTCCAGAGGCTTCTCTGGGCGGGCTCTCTGTGGTCAGTGCAGGACCTTCATGCAGCGACTGTGCCTTGCACTGATTGTCATTGCACCCCGTGACACCGAGGTGTGAGGAGTGTGAGCTCCCCAGGGGAACCTGAGGACAACGCGTCKGGCGAAGACCCCCATCACAGCCGCTTTTCAGAGAGGGCCACGGGGCCTTGTGCCGTGGGGCTCTGCCAGGCGTGGGGACATCCCTGAGGAGTCGGCCTGCTGAGCAYTCGCTGCGGAGCACTCGCTGCCGAGCAGCAGCCCAAGCCCCACGAGCTGGGTGGGCGCCCAGGGYCCCTGGTCAGCGAGGCGCTGTACAGGGGATGGCTGTCGCTGAGGCTTCYGGGCGGGGCCAGGGCGCCAGGGCGCGGCTGCAGCAGCCCAGGAGAGGCATCAGAGACCTGGGGGAGCCGGTGACCCAGAGTGACACCYGGACCCGTCGGAGGGAACACGTCAGTCACCCTCAACCCAGGGGCAGTCACGAGGAGCCGGTGACGTCGGATGGCCACCACCCAGCAGCATGGGGTGGCGATGACATGTGTGTCCTAGGGAGGTGCTGGGCTCCGGTCAGTGCAGCCCTCGGTGGGCACAGTGCACCAGGGCCGTTAGCCTGCTGTCAGATGGGGACACAGGCCAGGAGTAGTGACCAGCCAAGCTGTGGCCTCCAGGCCTTCTGACCCAGGAGACATTGTCCACTGTGCAGCTCTGAGAGGCCACCTCCACCTCTGGACATGCAGGGACTCAGGCAGGGCTGAGGTGGAACTGCRGGACAGTCATGCAGAGCAGACGGCTGCCGGCTCCTCCCCACTGGGCCTCCCAGCCCTTCCTCAGATGAAGACGGTGGTGTGGAGACCCGCCCCTRGCCTTCCCAGGGTCTGGCGCTGGCCCCGTCCTGCCCACAGCACCTGGGGACTGGCTGTTGGGCAGCTCCCAKCCCAGTCTGCCACCCTCCTCTAGGAATTGTGTGCTTGTCCCTGTGTCCTTCTCCCAGTCTGGTCATAAGCACGGGGTTGGCTTCTGTCTCCCACAGCAGAGGCCAGCCTCAGAACGCAGCTGAGCCCCCTCCAGGGAGGTGGGGGACGAGGGGTAAGAGCCGATGTCCATCTGCCTGACTGTTCTCCACGGTCAAGGGCATGGAAAAAGTCATCAGTCCACCTAGAACTTGGGAGGTGTTGCTCCATGAGCCTTCATAGGAAACTGCTCCGGTGCCAACCCGGGCAGCCCAGACACAGCCCGGAACCTCGGCACCAGCACAGGATGCTGAGGAAAACTGCAGGACCAGGACGCCAGGACAGTCTAAGTCCACACTAAGTCCAAGGTGGATGGAGAGGAGGCAGGGAGGGGAGGGAGAGGAGGGAGAGGAGGGAGAGGAGGCAGGGAGAGGAGGCAGAGAGAGGAAGGAGAGGAGGGAGAGGAGG